ATAGAGTTTCCCTGGTGTTGGCCAGAGTGGCCACCAGGGAAAGCTGGGGAGGGCTAGCCTCCCACTAGTTCAAATTAAGGGGCTACACAGCCCTTAATTCGAACTAGTAAGTTTGAACTAGGCTTAGTCCTCGTACAATGAGGTTTACCTAGTTTGAATTAAGTTCTAACTAGCGGAGCGCTAGTGTAGCGCCTATGAAAGTTAATTCGAACTAACGTCCATTAGTTCGAATTAAATTTGTAGTGTAGACATACCCTAAGCTATATAAACAGACACTTGAGTGTTAAAAGTCATTGTCATAAAACCCCTGGGCAAGGAGAGAACTCTAAGGTTGAAGGCACAGAGCCTGCCAGTAGAGTGAAACTGAAAATTGATAGAAAGATTACAGTATTGCCTATAACTCAGAAGATGACCTCTTTGTTATCTCAGAAGGACTTACAATCAGCTTCAACCTTTCCCAAAGATAAAGTTACCTGACACAGATCTGCCTAGCTTTTGCTTTAGCCACAACCCATGGCTGGCCTGTCACCTGACTCGGACACAGGCTGCATGGCTACTAAATTGTCATGTAGATGTTCAGACTCAGGCTGGAGACCAGATTCTGAGACTCCGTGAGGGGGGAGGGTCCCTGAGCCCAGGCTCCAGCCCAAGCCCACCCCTATGTCTACCCGGCATGGGCCAATCTGTCTATAATGCATGGGCTGATATGTCTATATTCCCTGGGCCAATTCACTACAGAAATAACTTACTGTCTGGATGCACTCCTTTTGTCTTTGTATGTGACTAAAGACCAACAGCCTTCCAGCCAGTGTGTCAGCCACGACTGCTGAAAGGAGATCCAGTACAAATAACTTTAAGAGACAAAGCTGAACCATACATATACATACATACATACACCTCGAAGGATTCCTACTTCATTATATCATGAAGTGGAAACTGAATTAAAAAAAGGGAGCGGACTGGAATAATTGAGAAAATCTCTGATCCCACAGCCTGGTTTGGGCTAATGTCAGTTTTAAAGAAAAATGGAGAAAAAATATGAGTCTGTACTTCTTAGAAGTCTTAATGAAGCAGTTGTGTTTGAAAAATATATTCTCCCAACACTGGAATACTTCCTCCTCAAAGTGAAAGGAGCTACAGTATTCTCTGTGCGGGATGTCTGGCAAATTTCTTTTGCTAAAGAAAGTGATATCATACTCTTTTGGAGATTTTGGTTTCAAAGAGTGCCTTCTGAGATTATCAGTGCACCTGAAGTTTTCTATAGAAAGAGGGCAAAACTAGTTAATGAATACAAATGAAGTTACAGTTTTCATGGATGATATTCTGATATATGGATCTACAACACAACAAACCCCTCAATGAAGTCCTAGGCCTAATCAGTCTGGATTTAAGCTAAACAAAGAAAAAAGCATTTTCTGCCTACTCCAAATTTTGTTTTTTAGGCAAACCATAAGCAAAGATAGAAGCAGTTCTCACCCTGAGAAAGTAAACACAATTTCAGAATGGAATGCACCAACTAATGAACAAGCACTGAAATAACATACTGCATTAGTAAATTACCTTGGCCAATACCTACAGATGTATCTACAAGGACAAAATCACTGAATGAACTGTTAGCATCTATTTATGTTGCAGCAACTAAACCTCCCTGGCTGGCCCATCTCTGGTTGCCTGGCTGTTAAAATGTAGTGTAGACATGGCTGGAGACCAGACTCTGAGACTCTGTGAAGGGGGAAGGTCCCCCAAGCCAAAAGCTCCAATCTCAAACCCATATGTCTATACTGCAGTTAAACAACTCTGCAGCCTGAGTCTGAGACAGCTAGCACAGGTCAGCCACAGGTGTTTCATTGCACGGTAGACACACCCTTAAAGTCCAACACATTTTGGCTACGGGAGCCAAATCTCAACATTTTCTTCAAAAAGGTAAAGGTTTGATCTCATCAGCTCCAGTACTATGATGTGAACAAACCCACAAGGACAGATGTAAGGAGCTATAGCCTAGGTGGGGCATTGGTACAACAACATAGCTCTCAGTAGAGGCTAGTTACATTTTACTCTCACAGAAGCAGAAAGAGGATATACACAGATTGAAAAGGACTGCCTGGCAAGTGTATGGGCATGTGAGAACTTCTACAGAGATCTGGATGGATTCAGAAAATAAAGAGCTTGTAACCCTCATTACAAAAGACCTGGATCAAGCATCACTCAAATGCCAACATCTCCTGATAAAATTAATGCACTTTAACCCAATTGCTAAATATGTTCCTAGGAAAAATCTGATGGTAGCAAACACTGTGTCACAGAGCCGAGCATCACACTGTTTCCCGTGAGTTTGAAGATGACATAATGGCATATGTGGATGCTGTGGCTGCATACAGACCAGTGTCAGAAAAGGGACTACTCCAGCTAAAAAAAATCCAACCTCTACAGACACGCAACTTCAGGAAGTTCTAATTTACTTTGGGCTGGCTGACTCAAGTACAGTCTCAAAGAACACTAAGGAAGTGACAAGAGACTATTTTGCGATGCACAGACAATTAAGTGAGTCAAATGTACCCATGATTAAAGGCTATTTGCATTGTAATTCCAAACAAAGGAGTGGAGAAATACTAAATCTCAATCCACGGACATTAAGGATTAATTAAATGCTGTGAAAGGAGCAATCACTCAGCCTGGTAGCCAGGCATCAGCAAGGACATAAAGAATATAGTATCTGCATGGGAACATTGTAGAACTAACAGATCAACCCAAAGAACCTTAACAGCATCTCTAACAGACGGACCTTGGAAAAGACTCGCTGCAGATTGCTGTGATTTCAGAGCTCAGCATTATCTGGCCATCATGGACTATATTTCCACATACATAGAAACTGTGTATTTGAAAGGCATAACATGCCACACTGTTAAGAAACTGAAGTCCATTTTTGCTCACTTTGATATTCCAGAACTAGTGATGGACAATGGACCACAATTCACTGTAGCAGAATTTAGGTCATTCCAAATTAAATACAATTTTGATCATATGATCAGCCCACGTTACCCACAAACAAATGAAGAGGCTTGATGAGCTGTATGGAGCGCTAAGAAAATCTATAACAGGAAGATCCTTTCCTAGCTTTTCTGTGTTACAGATCAACACCACTGGCAGCTACCGGATGCAGTTCAGCACAAATGCTAATGGAAAGGCAACTCAGGACCAATGTTCCCTCTAATTTTTTCCATTTGTATGTGGAATAAATGTTGTTATGTGCACCACGGCATATGCAGATGTGCAGTACCAATAGAAACACATGCATCTGGCTATGGGCATACTGCTAATCAGCTGGGAAGCATATGAATCTCTCTTGGGTGGCTGCTTATAGGGAACACCTCTCAGAACTACTATTTCAACTTTGGGGGGGGGGAACTATTTCCAAAGTGGCCTCAAATGAAGTGTGTAGCCAAGTCGGACAAAAAGCCTAACAAAGCTTATGAACACTTTTACAACAGAAGTCACTCAGGCCATGGCTATACTTTCCCGCAAATCAACACTCCAGAGATTGAAACTCTGGCATTCGATTTAGTGGGCCTAGTAAGGAGCTGCTAAATTGAATGCTCAAGGCACCCCCATCAGCACTGGTACTACTTCTCCTCGTAAGGGAAGTTGGCGGAAGTGTTTCTCTTGTCGACTTCCCATTGTGGGGATGGTGTTAAAGTTCAAATCAAGGTACATGGATTCTAGTTATGCAATTAACATAGCTGGAGTTGCATATCTTGATTCAGACTTCCAGGTAAGTAAAATGTGGCCTCAGAGAACTGCCAAGTCTAGAACTTCACGACCACGTTCATGTCAAATTGGATGGGGGAAAAAAAAAAAAAAGAACAGACAACTCCAGCTGTCATGATGAAAAAAAAGTTCAGCACCCAGGTCATATTTGATTGAGACCAACAGTAGAGACTTCAACAGAAACTGTGAACATCTACAGATTATTTCTCAGAAAGCAAACTACAGATGGCAGATGCACAAGCAGATGACTCAAGGATTCCAAACTGACCACAGCCAATCACTGAAAGAACTGAACACACTTTTACCACTGCCTGAGCCTGGTGGGGGAAGGGCTCCAGCAGCGGGGAGGCAGCAGGACTCTACTTAGCTAAAAATAGCAGTATAAACTGGTAGGCATGGCTTGGGTAAGTAGAGAACCATCTAAGGTATGTGCTTGGGTCATACCACACCCTTCAAGCATGTCTTTATTCTGCTCATCTAAGCCATGCTTCATGGTTTACACTGTTATTTATACCCATTCTAGGGAGACTAAGCATGTATACACCCTACACGCTGCCAAAAGAAGGATGCTGTGTATGTGCACCCAAAGTGACATACTATCCAAATGCTAGCACTAAAACCTGTTGGTTTGGGCTGGTTGCTGACTTGTAGAAGCCCTTTTCCTCTGAGGAGCCCACACTGGCATCATTCCCTGTGGAGCCAGGCAGGGAGAACAAAGGGTTGGAGTTTTGAAGAGCAACATTAATTGAAAGCCACTTACATTTTCTCCAGGAAGGTGTAGCGAGACGCATTGTATGTCAGTGGGTTTCTAACAATGGCCATGATATCCTCAGCCCAGCTCTAGGAACAAAACAGTGTCGGGAAAATACAATTAGAGATTAAAGTATACCAGCCAGCACATGGCATCTTCACTCTGAAAGGCACGGGCCTCCCCTCCGGAGCCTGGCTACAGTGAGCAACAATGTGCACCCTTCAGTCCCTGCTACCTGCCTAGTCAGAGTGGGACTAATCTTGTATTCCTTCTTCTACATCTGCTTACAGTGGGACCTAAACTTACCCTCCTATCCTTCTCTTTGTCTAATTTAACTGCAGGGAGGAGGAGGATGAAGTGAACAGCAGCAACACATCAATTCCCTCCTGCTTGCAGGGGATCCAGGCTGGAGTTCAGGGACACTGCATCCCCCTCTCTTTTGGAACCAGATTCCTATCTCTTTCACTTGGCAAGCTTGTCAGTCATGGCCAGTGTGACACCCTGACACCCCAATATTCACCACTCCCACGTAAGTAGGGTAAGTATTGTACAAAGTATGTCTTGTGAGCAATGTTCCCTGTAATCTTTTCCACCCATGCGCAGATTTTTCCATACATGTGCGGAATAATTTTTATGTGCACCACCAGTGGAAACAAAAAACCTAGCTGAGGGCGCTCTGCTAATCAGCTGGGCAGCATCTGAATTTCTTCTTAGTGACCCACACAAGTGCCCAGCATTCAGGGAACACTGCTAATGAGGTATCATTCTAAAATTATAGATAAGATAGATATTACTAACTTGTTGGATTGTATGTGAAGTTATGAAGTGTTGCGATGTGTTACTGAAACATGCTGTGAGGTTCAGAACACCCGGAAGCAGGCTTTCAGGTACATCAGTAAAAAGGCCAGCGTGAAAGGCTTACTGAGGAAATGCCCACGAGCACAAGAATTACCCCAGAAGCACTTCACAATGAGAACTGTTTGACCCAGTGTCACGTTATTGGATTTTAAAGTGAGCAGACAGCTCACTGCTGTGCCTACGGGAGGGGGGGTGAGGGGAGGGATGTTTGCCACAAATTTGGTACAAAATGGGCCATGCAAGGTGTTGAATGAAAGCTTCTGCTCTACCAATTCTGTGTATGCTGCTCATGTGCTTGTATGATGTTTGTATGTGGAGTTATGAATATGGGCTCTGTGCTGGTATTGTGAATGTTCTCTGTCTGAGACAGAGCAATGGGCCTGGACTGCCTGTCATGAGGAAGGAATGTTCAGTGAATGGCTGTGCTAACTAGCATGGCTCCAGGGACAATGGTTCTCGGGCGGGGGGCGGGCAATACACACCTGAGAAATGCGTATGGAAATCTGCAGACCAGTCAGTACCTCATGGCTGCTGGCATGTGAAACATGCCATCATGTGACCAGCTCCAACTTGGGAGGCACCAGGAATAAATATAAAGGTGCTATAAGGCTGACTTCCATCTTGCTACTGAGCCCAGATGCATCCTTGCTAGGGGCAGAGAGCCAGGAAGGACTGATGACCCATCCTGACATAGAATGTACACCAGAGACTTCTAAGATAGCAGTTTGTAACATCTCTGCGAAGAATCTGCATCAAGAACTTGGTGACTGATGTATGTATGTATATTCTGCTTAACAAACTTACTCTCAACCTTTTCTTTCTTTTGTTAATAAACCTTTAGATTTTAGATTCTAAAGGATTGGTCCAGCGTGATCTTGTGGGTAAGATCTAAAGCATAAATTGACTGGGAACTGTGGCTGGTTCTTTGGGACTGGGAGGATCTGTTTGAGGTAGGTGAGATCGGGTTCTATAATCCTTCACCTGTGTGTAGGCTCAGGGCTGATTGTGGCACAGGGAGAGCTGGGATGTGTGAGGGGTTTTGCTCGCAAGGCTTTCTGCAGGCCGAATTGGCAGCTGAAGTGATCTGTGAGACTGGTTTGAAGCTGACGCCCTCAGGGGTGCCCAGACCCGGCCCGGTCCGTCACACCCAAGGCATAGCAAAAGAGCTTTCCAGCAAGTGGAAGATATAAAAGCGGGATAATGACATCATTGGGGGAAGAAGGCCTTACTCTCTCTGCAATAACACACCTGGAAACACAAGAGGAAGAAAGACCTGGGAAGGCCAAGGCAACTTGTGCCTTAAGTATCTCCCAACCTGTTTATTACTCAGGGCAAGAATTTGCTAATGTAAATCCTATTTATCTAGTGTGCAAAGCTCAGTTTGAAGGTTTTGTTTGTTTACTAAGGTAATCTGCTTTGTTCTGTTTGCTCTTTTTTATAATCACTTAAAATTTACCTTCTGTGGTTAATAAACTTATTTCTTGTTTATTACAAAACCCATTGTATACAATTTGTATCGGGGTGGAGGATGGGGGCAAAAGGCTCTCTCCACATTAAGTAAGAAGGTGAATTCCTATGAGCTTGCACTGGGCAGCTCTCTGCACAGCATAAGACATTATTATTTAGGGTTTGTCTCCCAAAAGGGGTCTGCACATGGGTGCTGGGCAAGTCCTCTCACACAGAGCTGACTTCAGTCTGTACCTACAGCTGGGTGTGGCCCTTCTTTGTGTGTGCGCTGCAAGAGGACAGACAGCCTAATCCAGCAAAACAACAAGAGAGGGAATACAGGCTGGTGGAGCAGGAGAGACTCAGTGACATGCTTGGGGAGGTGGAGGGGATAGGGAAAGGATCCAACCAGTCACACTCAAGAAACAGGGATTTAGAATTCCCATCCTCCCCTTTTCTGCTTATGCCATAGTTCCAAGACTTCTGGTAGCCCACTCCCCACAGGTCCAGGATACCTTGCCAACATTCTCTTTGTAAGAGACAAAGTTGTGGAAAGTGAGATCCACCATGTCGGGGCCAGACACAACAGTGAGAGTCTTGAGAAGGAAGTTGTTGTCTGGGAAATCCAAGTTAAAAACTTCCCGGAGCTTCTGGCTCTGCAAAGGGAAACAAGGTACAAATGAAGGAGAACGGGTAAAGTGCCACCAGGAAAACAAGACCCAACCCAAATCTTTATCTAAATTCATGCTGAAATCTTAAGGAAGCTGGAGAAAGTCTTTAGAAAATCTTTTATATTTTTCTTTTTCACTGTGGACCCCTGTACTTCCTGGGTCCAATAGGAATATGAAGAGTCAAAATATTGCTATATGTGCCACTAAAGCAGCCTGGCATTTCTGATCTGACTGAGCAATCTCAGAATAAACTTACTTGTGAGGTCTCCAATTCAAATCTGCAGCTGTTGTAATGCATGGAATAAGGAGACAGACACTACTGAAGCATGTTTCATGAGCTAATTACAACCACGCAGAACATGAGCCTTAAAGCCAGATTACTGCAGTACTCCTTGCTCCAACACCACCCTACCATCATCTCTTCCCAGAGCCCTGCATGGTCTACAATCAAGTTATCTAAGAGGTGGACTCTCTCTGTGTCTTGTGCCACCCACCAGCTATGATTGCCTGAGTCATACTTGCTGCCAGTTCCTAGAGTTGGTACTTCTGTACAAGTGTCAAAGCCCCCTCTCCTTGGGAATCTACCTCTCCTTCCTTCCTGTCCCCTCTACCTATACAAATTTGTGGCCCACCAGAGCCTGAGCTGGACAGGTATCAACCTTATCTGATTGGCCTCCGATATGTATTTTAGGAGTTGATCATTTTAGGGGTAATAAAAATTAATTTTGCAGAATCTTTGTAGAATTACTTGGTATTAATTTTCTTCGTCAGCACGTAAAAGCTCCCAAATGTAAGATGCTAAGGTGATGAGCACCATTTACATTTTACAATGATGTCTATTGGGTGTAGATATAAGGATTCAGTTTGACCTATTGTAACTGACAAGGTGAGGAAGGTAGGAATGGCTGTTTCTTAGAATCACTTTCACTCTCCTCAGAATTTGAGCCAAAGTCTTTGGGCATGTCTTCACTGCAGAAAGTAAGCTCCAGTTAGCCTATCCTGGTGTGGCTAATTGTGCAGTGGAGATGCTCTACTCATGCTAAATTCTACCCATGAAATTGTATCCACACTGGTGCTGTACTAATCCATGTGCTGAGATGAATTTCTGGCAGGCTATTTTATAGCTGTTAGTGATGCATTACACTGAACCATTCTACCAATTCATCCACCTATTGCTCTCCTGTTAGTAGCAAGAACAAGAGAGCAATGTTTAGGTAAATAATTTCCAAAGTGCGTTATTCCTAATTTCTGCAGACAACACTAAAGGCAAAAGCAAACAGCATTTGCTAACAAGAATGCAAACCTCAAAGTGATTCACAGTGAACTGATTGCTCTTTCTTGTCCACTAAGCATATAATTGTCATTTTAGGTACAGGAGGGCTTCTTGGACAACACCTCTATTCAGATGCTTATGGAAGTGCAGCAGATATGATGCAGCAAAGATTAGATAAAAAAGCCAGTGCAGAAGGGAGCAGTTAGACTAGATTAGAGCTATGGAATAGAATTGGAGGGTACCAGCATCAACCCTTGATTAGCCTGCTTTTTCACCTTAAAATAGAGGGGTTGCCAGTCCGGGCTGAAGCAAGACTCACAAACAAGGCCTGTTAGCTCAGCTGGAGGTTTTTGTGCAACTGTGAGTGGACAGAACGTGGGCAATGGCATCACCTGAGCGACTGGCTGGGTGAGGTCTCAAGTGAAGATATATCCTTGTAAAACACATGCAAATACATGCTTGTATTTTATTGCAATTCAAATCCCAGCTCTTCCTTTCCTGCCACTGAGTTTTCTGTTCACATTTGGATTGTAAATGGCCAGATTTTCAAAACAACTCAGCACCCAGAACTTCTTATGGCTTGTAAAATACAATATACACCAAAGGCATGCTATGAATTATATTGTGTTCTTTTTCGGGCATCTATTATTTTGGGGGGGTGGAGTTCAACGTTATTCGAGTCTATGATAAACATACACCTTTAGGAAAGGACAGCTATCACCCCAGGGCTATTAAACTAGCATCTGCATCTTACAAGGGTAAAGCAGCTCCTCTCAGGGTGTGTCTAGACTATGGACTTTTGTCGACAAAACTATACCTGTGTCTACACTACCGCCTCGGCAGTTTACGAGGAATAACGCCTTTTGTCGACAGAATTTTGTTGACAGAAGGCGTTATTGCATCTACACTGTCCTTTGAATCTACATTCTCATGTCGAGAAAGCGGCTTGCTTTGTTGACAGAACTGGATGTAGTCTAGACGCTCTTTGTTGACAGAAGCTTTGTTGACAGCCTCTGTCGACAAAGCCTTTGTCAACAAAAGCCTGTAGTCTAGACGTACCCTCATAGGCTATGTCTACAGTACGGCTTTTGCCAGAAGAGGCAATGCAAATGAAGCGCGGATTAGCATTTTCTAGTGCTTCATTTGCATAATCTCTTCCGGTCTGTTTTTGTGCAAGAGGTTTTTGCACAAAAAGGAAATGTCCACACTGCTTGTTTTTGCGCAAAAACCTCTTGCGCAAAAACAGACCAGAAGAGATTATGGAAATGAAGTGCAAGAAAATGCTAATCCACGTTTCATTTGCATTGCCTTTTCCAGCAAAAGCCATAGTGTATCCATAGCCGTAGGGTGATTCCAACAATCAAATCAGCATAACATGAATGTATTTCAAGAGTGGGGAGGAGGAGAGAGGTAAGACAGGAAGAGAGACTTTAAAAATCACCCAGAAGACTTCTGTTTTATAATAGAGTTGGAATCTCTAGGACAGTCTTTTAGTTTTATTTTGCAATGTCTGTCCAATGCGGAGGTGTACATGCATAGCACATGCTTCCCTTTCTGACTCTGCCCATAGAGGAAGGCTCCTGGCATGAGCCATACAGACTTCACTGATCTGAATTACAAAAGGCTTCATGTTATATGATTTTAGTCTTGCATTTAACTTCACCCTACAGACCTGCTGGCTGTTGTCCAAATTATTTACCACCCACATACTAAACCAAGAAACTGAGACAATAGAGAAATTGTGGTTTATGTTAAACAAGTTCCTGTATTTGTTAAAAGCTGTCTCTTCCCCTTCCTTCTCTGTAACATGGTGTTGCTTATCACGCAGGTAGGTCTCAGTTGCTTATCACGTTTTTGTTCTCAGTTGAGTCCTGAGGGTCTGAAAGCTGTCATTTAGAACTTCTGTCTTTGAGTTTGTTCGGCTAGACAAACTCATCATATTCAATGCTGATAATGTCTTGATAGTGTCATCTTGTCATTGACATTACATGTTTGCAGATTATTATCCTGAGAACATTTTATAAACAACTAATTAAGCCTCACATTACTCCAGTAAAATTAACTATTATCTTCATGTCACAGACTGGCTATGTCTATACTGCAAGGCTTTTCTGCAAAAGGAAATGCAAGTGGAGTGCTCATTTTCATATGTCGAGCCTGCATTTGCATTTCCTCTTCAGATCCCTTTTGCGCAAGAGGTTTTTGCTCAAAAAAGCACTGTGTAGACCAGGGCTGTTAACCTGAAGCTTGCGAGCCACATGCAGCTCTTGCTCCCTTCAAGTGCAGCTCACAAAGCCTCCCTCATGGCTCACGAAGCCATCCCTGCACTCCTAAAAAATGGCCTCTGGCCCCTGTTTCCCTGTGCTCACCATCCGGCGCGGCAAAGCAAAATGGCGCCAGCCAACGGGAGCCTGATATGGCCAAAAAGCCACCCGGAGTTGTGTTTAAAGGGGCAGCATCCCTTTTTCTTTTTTTGCTCAACAACTTTTCCCCCCCAGCTCATTGCGCTATATCCCCAACTATTGTGGCTCTTTGCCTTTAATGGGTTGGTCACCCCTGGTGTAGACGGCTCCTTTTTGCACAAAAACCTCCTTTTGCGCAAGAGCCATTCTTCCTCATTTTTTCAGGAAGAACCTCTTACACAAAAGGGATCTGAAGAGGAAATGCAAATGCGAGTGTGACATATGCAAATGAGTGCTCCAATTGCATTTCCTCTTGTGGAAAAGCCTTGCAGTATAGACGTAGCCATAGACAGGAAACAGAGGCATGGAAATCCTTTAAAAAGGGAAAAAGGATGATCTTGTGTCTGAGGCTCTGGACTGAATGTAACTGCCAGCCACAGACTTTGCGTATTACCTTTGACAAGTCACTTAGGGTACGTCTAGACTACATGCCTCTGTTACCAGAGGCATGTAGATTAGGCTACCAGACATAGGAAAATGAAGTGTCGATTTAAATAATCGCCGCTTCATTTACATTTACATGGCTGCCGCGCTGAGCCGACAAACAGCTGATCAGCTGTTTGTCGGCTCAGTGTGATAGTCTGGACGCGCGGTGTCGACATCAAAGGTACTTGTCGACCACCCAGGTAAACCTCATCCCAGGAGCCATACCTGGGTGGTCGACAAATGCCTTTGATGTCGACCCCCGCGCGTCCAGACTATCACGCTGAGCTGACAAACAGCTCGGCCGGGCTGAGCCGACAAACAGCTGATCAGCTGTTTGTCGGCTCAGTGTGATAGTCTGGACGCGCGGTGTCGACATCAAAGGTACTTGTCGACCACCCAGGTAAACCTCATCCCAGGAGCCATACCTGGGTGGTCGACAAATGCCTTTGATGTCGACCCCCGCGCGTCCAGACTATCACGCTGAGCTGACAAACAGCTGATCAGCTGTTTGTTGGCTCAGCGCGGCAGCCATGTAAATTTAAATGAAGCGGCAATTATTTAAATCGCCACTTCATTTTCCTATGTCTGGTAGCCTAATCTACATGCCTCTGGCGACAGAGGCATGTAGTCTAGACGTACCCTTACTCTCTGTGCACCCCCATTTCTTATCCAATTGCCTTCCTCAGAGCGATGTTGTGATGATAAATTCAGTCATGTTTTTGAGGTGCTCAGATACTATGGTGAAGGAGGCCATATGAACGTCATACGTAAAGGTTTATTGCACAAGGCCATATAGTCAAGAGCTGCAGATAGTAACCACGCATTCTAGTTCTGAGTCTGCAGCTCCCTTATTCTAGTTCTGAGTCTGCACTCCCTTATTGTATCATGACAACGTTTCCGGACAGCATGCTGCAATTTCACAACACAAGCTGTGTCTAGACTGCAGGCTTTTTAGAAAAAAGTGGCCTTTTTTCAAAAAAACTTCCCGAGTCTAGATTGCTGCCATGTTCTTTCGAAATTAAATCAAAAGAACATGGTGGGTTTTTTGACCACAGTAAACCTCATTTTATGAGGAGGAACACTTTTTTTTTCGAAAGTGCTCTTTTGAAAAAAGGTGTTCTTGAATGGAAACAGTGCTTTTTCAAAAGAGAGCATCCAGACTGCCTGGGTGTTCTCTTTCAAAAAAGTGGCTCACTTTTTCGAAAGAAGTGGTTGCAGTCTAGATGCTCTCTTTTGAAAGAGGCTTGTAGTCTAGACATAGCCACAATGACCCAGTGCCATTGCACATGAGATTGATATATTAAAACAGGAATGATATTTAAAAGCAGGAGTGGTATCAGTGCTATAATTCATGCACCCAACAAAATAAGACAGTGAAAATATACTTTAAAAACCAGAAACCCAGTGATTCAGCTTTAATCTCAGCTCTCCCCTGATTTCCCTAGCAACCTCATCTAAACAAACTAGAGTCAGAAGCCAGGGAAATAAACTCTCCTATGCAAATATAGGCAAAGAACCATGCCTACTGCTAGAGCTGGTGAGAAAGCAGCCTTTCGTCATCTGCACACACAGCACCAACCTCACAACGCTGAGTATCATCACTGAACATGTCTAAGGAAAATCTAAGGTGAAGAATAAGAATACGTCTAGACGGCAGGCTTCTTTCAAAAGAAGCTTTTTCGGAAGAGACCTTCTGAAAAAACTTCTTCCAAAAGAGAGTGTCCACACTGCCAATGTGCATTGAAAAAGTGATCTGCTTTTTTGAAAGCTAGCGTCCACACTGAACAGATTCTATCTTGCATTTAAGCTGTGATTACTATGGACAGAGTGGCTACCAGGGCACCTGTACTTTTTCCTGGAGGCCTCTTCTTTTGAAAAAACTCCCTCTTCCCCATCCACACACGCCTTTTTCCAAAAGAGCTCTTTTGGAAAAAGGCGTGTGTGGATGGGGAAGAGGGAGTTTTTTCAAAAGAAGAGGCCTCCAGGAAAAAGTACAGGTGCCCTGGTAGCCACTCTGTCCATAGTAATCACAGCTTAAATGCAAGATAGAATCTGTTCAGTGTGGACGCTAGCTTTCAAGCCCTGCTCTGTCCCTAGATATTGGGACAAGGCTGTCTGCTGAGCAGTCACTAATTCTCACCATGGTGAGTGCCATTCTGCCATTGTCCCTACTAAGTTTTGCCATTTTAGTTTAAAATGTAATTCCCAACCACAACCATCACAGAAGCTGGGGCCAGGCAGCACTGTGCCCGGGGTGCCAAATGGCTGCCCCTGCCAAGCACTGAGCCTTTCCTTACCTGCCTTATCCCCTCGTATTTGGACATCACAGAACTATAGGACTGGAAGGACTCAATAGGGCATCTAGATCAGCCCTCTGCACTGAGATAGGACTAAGTATCGTCTAGACTGGAAGTTCTCAAACTGTGAGTCTGGCTCCAAAGTGGGTCACAGACTTGTGACCCCATTTTAATGGGGACACCAGGGCTGACTTAGGATTGCTGTAGCCCAGGGCTGATGCTTGAGCCCCACTGCCTGGGACTAAAGCCCTTGGGCTTTGGCTTTAGACCCCCTTCCTGGGGTGGTGGGACTCAGGCTTTGGCTTTTCCTTACCCACCTTCTCACAGCAAAGGGGGCTCAGGCGGGCTCAGGATTCAGCCCCCAATCTTGGGGTTGTGTAGCAATTTTTGCCACAACAAAGGGAGTTGTGGTGCAGTGAAGTTTGAGAACTTCTAGCTAGACCATCCCTGACAGGTGTTTGTCTAACTCAGTGGCCCCCAACCTTTTGGGCCTCCAGGCACCCGGGGGCAGAGGCCACGCATGCGTTGGGCGTCCAGGGGCGGGGGCTCAAGAATGGCTTGGACTGGCCCTGGTCAGTAGGTGGGCGCACATAAATGCCCTGGTGGGCGCCATGGAGCCTGTGGGCACCACGTTGGGGACCCCTGGTCTAACTTATTCTTAAATACCTACAGCAGAGTGCCCACAGTCTCTCCTGAGTAATTTGTTCCGGTACACAGCTACCCATGCAATTAAAATGCTTTCCTAATGCCTAACCTAAATCTTTTGCACAGCAATTTAAGCCCCAATAAATGTACAGGTCAGGGACACATGCTTGCGTCTCACCCCTCCCCTATATGAGTGTCTGGTGTGGTAGGACTCTTGTTTCCAAGCCTAAAAAATCACCAGTGGTTCCAAGTCCTAATCCAAGGTTTGTACTTGTATGTAGCTAGCACTAGGACTTACCCCTTCATCTCAGAAATTGGTTACCTATATCAGAAGTCTGATATTGGGTCCACAGTCACTGCTTTGTGAGCTTCCAATCCATTGGCTGGAAAAAGCTCCATAGTGCTTTGAGATACCAGGACAATATGAAAGATACTATCTATGCAAACCATGTGGCACAAGCTCCACCAATGGCTCAATCTGAGACAGAAAAGGGCCACAGACTCACCTTGGGGATTTTGGCAAATTTCCCTACTCGGGTGTCTCGGATGCTGGTTATATCCAAAAAGTCCATCTCCTGCAAAAGAATTAAATCAAGGAGGAAGCTGGCACTTGAAGGAGGAAGGGCAAGGACTGCAGGAGAGGGAATGGTTAGAAAGGGAATGACCCGGCTCGCTGGTGGCTCTCTCACAGCCCTGCATTGGGTCGGTGTAGAGCTGCACCTCCAGAACAGGAACAACGGCACAATTCTCAGCCTCATGGAGATGGCACCTGTTGCAGTACTATGTAAGCCAATCTGCTCCCCTGGCCAGTGCAGAGGGGCAGTGATATGTGGTTCTGACTCCTTCCTTTTTGAAATGGAGGGCCTGGCAGGAAACTGTCTCTGGGGGCAACAGAACACAAGGGCTGCATTCCCATCTAGCTCCTACCCTAAGGAGGGCACTCTGCACACCCACCAAAGGACATGCTGCAAATTTGCCCTGGAGGGAGACAGGCGAGAGGCTGTAGTGGGGGGGAGGGAGCAGGGACTGGTGGTCAGTAAAGCCCAGTTAGTCAGACATGACTGTATCTGGCACAAAAATAAGGACTTTACAGAGAGCCCTGGAAACATCTGGCAGGATGTGTAATGCTTAGTAAGCACTCAAGAGGGAAAGCATAGCACTGGTAGTACTGAACAGGCACACAGCTTCCGCAAAGCCTGCTCACACTTATGGAAGCATGTAGTTCACCAAGGCAGACTTGATAAAGTAATAAAGTAATTAACAAAGTAATTAAATAAAGTAATTAACAAAGTAATTAACAAAGCTCCTTCCCAAATAATATGATATCTTGCTTCCATATAGGTGTCCTCACTGCCTGTCAGGACCAAGCAATTAACACTGGACCTGGGATCAGCAAATATGTTGGGATGTGTGCAAGGCAACTGAATCAGCTACAAGCCTCACCATGGAGGGTAACCTGTAATAGTCCATAATTCACCCCAGTTCCTCACCTGTTATCCATGACATCAGCCTGCCTATTGCCCCCACCAGCCTATCAGTGCCATTTTGCTTATCACCATAAATCTATGTCACAATAAATCTATCTCACCACCATAAATCTAACTGTGTCAGTATGTTCTGTGGATGTATCCACCCACCCATTGCTGTGGCCACATTCTCCGTATCAGTCAACCCATGGCCCATGCCAGCCCATGCTGCTGGCAACAACCTGCCTATTAGCTACGCCCAGCAGCTGTTGTCAGCTCACACAATGCCCGGAGACTCTCTCACAGTGGGAAAGGTGCCAGACACAACTGCTTCTGCTGGGATGTAAAGCGGGCAGGTGCTCCAGGTGGCTCTCAGATTTGCTTACAGTTTGTGCTAGATGCTAATCAACTAGTGCTGCATTTCCCTGTAAAATTAGGCACTTGACCTGTGTCGCCTCTCCCAGAGGCTGTCCTGCTTCCCACAGCTCCACAGTTTCAATACCAGGCTGGCTGCTCTCACCTGTGTGCAGGGTCAACACTGTTTGCCCAAATAGTAGCAGGCCTTGTTCCCATTGCCTTCCCCAGGTCTGAACTCCTCACACCAGTTACATGCCTTGTGGGGTGAGAGGGGCGGTCACAGTGTCTATCAGGTTTACAAAAACTGGTGTTTCCCCTGGTTTTTGTAAATCTGTTCCAGGGCAGCCCGCTTGCTCTGCTGTGTTGCAGGAGGAAGTGGATAGCCTATAACATTCGCTCCAGCTCCACTCCTGCAACCAGGATGAGAAGAGCTAGAGCGTGATGGAGCAGAATGTCCAATGTTTCAGGAGCAGAATGCCCAATCTCACCCCTCCCTCCCCATCATATTGCTGAGCCCAGGTCCAGTGTAAACTGCTTGGCCCTGACAGGCCATGAGGATACCTGCATGGGAGCAAGATGTCTTGGTATTTGGGAAGGAGCTTTGGGTATGTCTACACTTGCACCCTCTTTTGATAGAGGGATGCAAATGTAGATATTCAAAATTGCAAATGAAGCCGGGATTTAAATATCCCGTGCTCCATTTGTATATTTGCATTACGGTGCTATTTCAAAATAGCGCTATTTTGAAATAACAGACGCTGTTAAGATGCGGTTATTTTGAGAGAAAAACCTTCTCTCGAAATAACTGGTAAACCTCATTGTATGAGGAATAAGGATTATTTTGAGAGAAGGGTTTTCTCTCGAAATAACTGCGTCGTAACAGCGTCTGTTATTTTGAAATAGCACCATAACGCAAATATGCAAATGAAGCATGGGATATTTAAATCCCGACTTCATTTGCAATTTTGAATGTCTGCATTTGCATCCCTCTATCAAAAGAGGGTGTAAGTGTAGACATACTCTTTGTTAATTACTTTGTTAATTAACCCTTCAAGTCTGCCTTGGTGAACTAGATGCTTCCATAAGTGAGAGCAGGCTTGGCAGAAGCTGAGTACTACAGTACTACAAGTGCTACAGTACTACAAGTTCAGTACTACAAGTGCTATGCTTTTCCTCCTGAGTGCATCCCAGCTGGAGGGAAGGCAGATGTTTCAGGGGAATATAACGGGCACAAGATGCTACTGCTAAAAGCTCCTTATCTCATGCCACAGAAATGCCAAAGGTCGTGGTTGTGGCACTGCTGTGAGGGAGTTCACCATTGTGAAGCCCGGAGAGGCTAGCTGGCACTGGCAGTCACTGTTCTGAGGAAATCATCATAGCAAAGATGTCACTTATAGCGCCAAATAGTCCCAAATTGTACTGCTGTGCAAGGTTGCTGCTGCTGTCTCTTTATTTTATCCACTATGCGTCAGTATGTGGGTCATGAGGAGGAAGTGAAGCTGAACCACAGTGGACTACAAAGCGGAAGTATGTAGGCCCAGCCTCCCACCTGCTGTCTCCCAGAACTCTCTGCCTCTTTGTTATCAATTAGCACTTGGAGAACAGGACTTTTTCTGCTTTCCCACTGCATCTCCCTGGCATAGGTGCTAGAACTAGAGGTTGGGGGAGCTGCTGCACCTCCTCAATTGAAGTGGTTTCCATCATATTCCATCAACCAGTATACAATGGAAACCATTACATACTGACACGTAGCGGATGAAATAAAGAGACAGCAGCAGTAGCACTAGCTGGGACTATTTGGGGCTACTTCTTGGGCTCTCAGCACCAATGTTCCTTCAAACTTTTCCTATGCAGATGCAGAATGACTTTTGTGATGTGTTATGTGTGACACATCACCTCCAGACTGGTGCATATAACCAAATTCAAGTAGGGGGAGTGGGGCCAACGTGTTTGGAGCATGGGAGGGAGCTCAGGGCTGGGGCAGAGGGTTGGAGTGCATATAACCAAATTCAAGTAGGAGGAGTGGGGCCAAGGTGTTTGAAGCATGGGAGGGAGCTCAGGGCTGGGGCAGAGGGTTGGGATGCAGTGGGGTAAGAGTTCCAGCTGGGGCTGCAGTATCTGGGGTGGGGTCAGGGAAGAGGGGTTCACAATGTGGGAGGGGGCTCAGTTCCCTCTAAGCTGTGTGGCCATACAGCAACCTATTAAGTGCTGCACAGGCACTCAGGGCTGCAGCAGGGAGAGATTCCTCTCCCACAGCCCCGGGCCTGCTGTGGCTGGAGGACAGGTACCTCTCTTCCCCCTCCCCCCACCCCAACCTCCACCCAGCTGAGCCTAGGAATTGCCACAGCCTGGCAATGGATGCACCTCTTCCAGCTCCAACCCAGTGAAACCCCAGACCCGGTGCAGCCCCTCTCCTGTCCCCAACCCAGCCGAGCATCAGTCCTGCTGCAGCCAGGGGAGAGGTGCCTATCCCACAGCCCCAGCCTTGGAGCTGCCACAGCAAGAAGAAGTGTCTCTCCTCCTCCCCAGCCTAGGTGCTGCTGTGGGGAAAGAGCTGGATAGAGTTCTCTCTCCGCACCATAACCACAGGGCACACGCATTTTGTTATACGCACCAATCTGGAGCGGATGTATCACCCCCATATTAGTGCACATTATTTCTGCACGTGCATGAGAAAAATTACAGGTAACACTGGACTGAGGCAGAGGGTCGGATTGCCAGGAGGTGAGGGCTTTGGGGTGGGGCCAGGGATGAAGCATTTAGGGTACAGGCTACACCAGGGCTGC